AGAAAGAAAATCAGCCTGCCAACCTAGGATAGATAGGTAGCATTTGATCACCCAGCCACATTTCCCACTGGATTAAGCTAAGCATCCAGAGTTACTTACCTTAAATACATTTATATGAAAGATATCTTAGAAAAATCAGATCACAGTTCACATGACTGGGAGGTATAATTTAGATTTGGAGACCCTAGGATAATGGGAGGTGAGGTTTGAAATCAGGACATAGTATTTTGCATTGTATTAGGTTCCTTCATCTGTGAAAGCAGAAGAGAATTTGGTTCATAAAAGAAAAAAAATTCTCAGAAGGAAAATCAATATTGCTTAGAAATAGAGACTGAGTTCATTGGATCTGAGTCCATTGTGAATGCCTGTCCACACAGTGAAGTTTAGAAGCTTAACAGTGGCAACCTTTCTCTACCTGTCTACCAGCAAGGCACACTGAAAGATTTCTATACAGGTCCACACTAGGTCCTTGGGCTTCTATTACAGTGGTAGAAGTTTCTGTGACAGAAACCGCACTACCATGTACAAATGAAGGCCACATGAGATTAAAATTCATCAGAGGAGCTACCCTGGAACACAGTGTCCTTCATAGAAGAGGAAATAAGGGAGGCAGCATTGTAATCACATGCAGCAAAATTTTCATTTAATGTGTTAAAACCACCCTAGGTCAAGGCAGATGTGTCTGGGAACTTGTAGAGTATAAAAGGTTGAACATTGCGTGTACTTGAAAATTGCTAAAGAGGTAAAATGATATCTTAAGAGATAAACACTGAAGAGTATGAGGTCAGCAAGAGTAGAGAGAGCCCCTCTCCCCGCAGAGAGGTTCATTTTTTTCTTTCTCATCTGCTGATTTCTAATGGAGGCTGGGGCAGGGCTGGAAGATTTTCTCCTCCCATGAATTCTGGTGTAACTCCATCTTTCATGGTCCCCACCACTAAGGACATGTATTCTCCTTTAAGGACCTCTGTGCAGGCATTGCCATTTTTTCAGATAGATTCTTGACATCCTTAATTCCTGTGAATGTTCCAGTCTTGAGCACACTACCCATATTTTATATGAGGTTTTGGTGTGGTGAATATAGGAATATATTTCTCCAGCTTTGTAGTAAAGCACATGCTATGAGGCTTTGGGATAGTTTTGTGTCAAGTAATTATAATTACACAGTTAGACAAATGAGGTTGGATAATCCAGGTTTCCCAAAGTTTCCATTAGATTTATCACAAAAAATTATTAAGGACTAGAGAGATGGCTCAGTGGTTAAGAGTTCTAGCTGCTCTTCCACAGGACCTGAGTTCAAGCCCCAGCAACCACATAGTAGCTCACAACTCTCTATAATGGGATCTGATCTCTCTTCTGGCATACAGACATAACTGTAGACAGAGCTCTCATACGTAAAAAATCTGTCTATTCTAGGGCCAAAGAGATGGCTCAGTGGTTAAAAGCACTGATTGCTCTTCCAGAGGACCAGGGTTCAATTCCCAGCATCCACATGGCAGCTCACAACTGTTTGTAACTCCAGTTCCAGGGGATCCGACACCCGTGGCAAAACACCAATGCACATAAAATAAAAAAAATTATTAAAGTTCACAAATTTGACATTACTAACATACTTTTAAGTATTTCAGCTTGTTTGTGCATTAGGCAATAAAACCAACATTCCTAGACATGCTATTTTATCTTGATTAATAGGTGTTTCCACCCATAGAAATGACTTAAGTCAACTGTTAAAAATCAGTCCTAAAATAGTCCCTTTGAAACCTGTTTTCTCCAGCTGTATGGAGAGTCTGGCCTGAAGCATACTGTGTTGGGGAATCTGAGGTGATCCTGATTCCTCCTGGTTTTAAAGAACAAAAAAGTCGTACTCTGCCGAAAGCAAAAACATGAAAGCACTGAGACCCAAAACCTTCCTTGTTGGTACCATTAACTTAGAGTTGGCTCATCTATTGTCTCCATGGTATGCTTTAGACCTCGTGTTAAAGGAATGATATGGGTGTGTGTGTATTCAATACACTTTGGTACAGGCGTGTCCAGCCTGCTACGCACAGACTACCCACAGCATCCCAGGATAGCTACAAATGGGGCCCAACACATTTGTAGATGACAACATCATATCACAGTGTCAAAAGGTTGGAACCCTGCCCCTGAATACTTCTGTGTTCATTGGTGAGCTGTGGATTCTTTGGTCGTTTGCTCGCCTAGAAGCTGAGCAGGTCATGTTCTGTAGCTATGGGACTGAGCAGTGACAAAAGGTGGGACTGGCTCAGAATAAATGCTTGTAAAGTAAGCAGGCTCGGTGGGTACATCTCTGGCACTATAAACCATAGTTTTTGTAGGCTTTCTCTTGAAAACCTCTAGGCACCAGCTAGCTGTGGTGGCTCGTGCCTATAAAAATTTCACCATTTAGGAGATCAAACTAGAAGGTTCACCACAAGTTCAAGACCAGCCCTGGACTACAGAATTAGACTTTGTCTCAAAGAAAAGCCAAAACAAAACTCCTAGAGATAGCTAGAAAGGGAATTTTCTGTCTTTTCTAGTATATTTTCCTTTTGTGTGACATCAGCACGTATTTTTTGTAAAAGATTAATTTATTATGTATACAGTGTTATGTGTGTTTGTATGCCTACTCTCCAGAAGAGGGCATCAGATGGTTATTAGTCACCATGTGGCTACTGGGGATTGAACTCCTAGGCCTCTGGAAGAGCAGCCAGCAGTCAGTGCTCTTAACCTCTGAGCCATCTCTCCAGCCCCAGCACCTATATTTTAACCATAAAATTAGAGCTCAGCAATATCAAAAGGTAGGGCAGCTCCTTTTAGGCATGGTCAGTATAGTTCTTGGATATAGAAATATTTAGAATTCACTACTGCTTTTCTAGACATTAAAAGAGCGATAGTAAAAAGAAAAAGGCAACTCAGTAAGAGAGAATGATCGCTTTTCAAATGTGGCCCTAGGTGATAGGATCTGAAAGGCTAATTGCATCAGGGCGCTTGTGCTGTACAAATTCTATTTCCTTGCCATTGGTACTAAGGAGCCACTGATCATTTGAGGTCCTTGGAGTTAACTCTTGCATTTTATTTATTTTGTGGTACCAAGGATTAAAAGCCGGGACTTGTGTGTGTTAGACAAGGATCCTGCCACTAAGCTGTATCCTCAGCCTTTTAAAACTTTTTAAAATAAAAATCATGAGATGACAGTTCCGCTAAATTGCATAGGCTAGCTTTGAACTCACTCTATTGTGCAAACAAGCCTTGAGCCTGTGGTCCTGTATCAGTCTTCTGAGGTTATAACAGGGGTTGCGGGTTTGTACCACCAGGCTGATGTGGCATATACCCTTACTAAAGAATCACTTGGTTCCTCAAATCAGCCTTTAGCAAGAAAACTTTGTTATACAGTTGCCACATGGAGAAGAAAACAAGAGTCTCTATGAGATGGGAGAGACCAGCTAGAACAAATGGAGAGTGATTTTCCCACAGGCTCTAATGGCCATGGGTACTGGTACCTGTAGGCTATAGGAAGTTGAACAGATGGCGCAAAGTAGCTGAGTAACTCCAGGAGATGGGCCCGGCTTTCTTGTTGGACGCACATTGTATCTAACATAGGCACACAAGGGACTTTCCCTGGTACTCTTCCCTATTGATTTGACAGTGACAGAACTGTGCCAGGCAACTGTTGTGGTACAGAAATATCACTCATTTACTTCCCGAGTCAGCTCTCTGAGATGAGGGGCCTGGGAGGTGGCAGTGGAAAGCAGCAGGCATTGTGTGTGTTCCATGGCCGGCTTTCCCTTGTTGAGTGACAGACTACAGAGATTGACAGGTCTGAGTGAGAGTTCATCAGCCTCTGCCCAAGCCGCCCAAGCGGGTTCCCAGACAAAGGGTGTGGTTTCCTTAGCTCACTCTCTGCTATTTGGTTGCGAATGGCAACAGGATCCAAACAACTTGGACATGTGGTTGTATTTAAAAAAAAAAACTGGGAATGGAACCCAAAGCAGGAGTGTGGGCCATTCAGTTGGTGGAAGAGCAGCGGTGAGTAGCAGAACTGCTCGTTTCTTTCCTCCATTCTTTCTCGAAATTACATGGTGGATGAATAGTTTGGGTTCAGATAGTTTCAGTTCCTGTACTTCTAACACAAATAATTGCTGTCTGTTTACTCCTGTAAATTCCCCTTTTTAAGTGTGATAGGAAAAATTAGCACATGTGTATAGCAATTGGAAACTAATAGAAACCCAAATTTGGTGCCTTCCTGGTGGCAGGATTCTCTACTAAATGACTTGGCAGAGGGGCTACGGAAGACCTTAGCAGGGCTCTGGTACTTGGCAGACCTCTTATATATGGTTATCTAGGGCCATAGCTGAGGGAGTTTGTTCATGGGAAGGGGATGGAGGGAGGAGGTCCTTGGAATTATTTTGAATCTTTGCAGAAGTCAGTTTTCCAGATTCAACTTGAAACTTTTGCTGTTTAGAGCAGCAAACATACCAGAAGGTAATACGTCAGTGAATAGCCCAGTCCTTACTGGCTTGACCTGAGAAAAGATTTGATTTTGCTGCGTCACAAAGCGTCACCTCACTGTGACAGATACTTCATGGTTGCCTTGCCCAGGAGTCTTCCTTCTTTACTGTCCCACCTCACCTTTCCATTCCTGGTTCAACAACAGATGGGTCTCCCAGAATCCTACCTTAGAATAAGTACTGGTCCTCTTGCCATCCTTAGTGTCCTCTGTGAGTCAGCAGAGTGATTTCTGACATGTCCGCAGGGAGTCGCTGGTCCTTGACATGTGGCATTTAGTGTTCAAATCAGAGGTATTTTCTTCCTGGGAGCCGTAGTGAAGTATCAGTTGTCGTGGCACTTGGTAACTAGCCAAGCTCAAGTGGAAGCTAGGCCCTGAGGACTAGAGGGTTTTCCTAGCTCCATGGCAGCAGTGCGCAAGAACCTCCGGAGCCTTCTGTGACAGGGCACCCTTGTATTTCCCTTTGCCCATTTGTTCTCCCTGCTTGCCTTTCCAGGTCCCTCCAGCTATAAGGTGGGCACCATGTCTGAGAAGTTCGACTGTCACTACTGTAGGGACCCCTTGCAGGGGAAGAAGTATGTGCAGAAGGATGGCCACCACTGCTGCCTGAAGTGCTTCAACAAGTTCTGTGCCAACACCTGCGTGGAATGCCGCAAGCCCATAAGCGCGGATGCCAAGGTAACTTTTGTCCCCGAGGGGGAACAGGGCGGGCTGGGCTTCATGTGCTTTCTTGCAGCCACGCACCGTTTTGAGTTTTCGTCACAGCAGCCTTAAGTACTTGAGACAGGTTCTATGCTGCCTAGGGTACTTTTCATGCCCCCTAGCTTAAAATAGAGTAATATGGGCCTTGGACTAGATGGCCCACTAAGGCCTTTGCAGCTCTTGAGTTGGACAGGTTGAATGGCTTTTAACGAAATGCTCGGCAAGAGAAGTGTTTGAGTTTGGATTTTCTTATTTTATAATTCTTGGACATTTTTAATGAAAGATTTTGATAACAATACCCAAGTATAAACACAAAATTTGTTCGCATTCTATTTATCTTCTGTGTGCATAATTTGAAGGTGATTTTATACAATGTTTTTTATTTTTTTTAATTAAACATAATCCTATCATTTCCCCCTTTCCCTTTTCTCCTTCTAGCCCTTTTGGGCATTCCCTAGCCCCTGCACCCTTTCTCTCAAATTCATGGCCTCTGGCCTCCTTTTCTTTTATCGTTGTTACTTTTTGAAAGTAATTGTGTGTGGAATGACGTTTATGTGCTATAGCTAAACGTACCAGAAAGGTCTTGTTTTCCCCAGAGATGCAGGATAAACTATGTGTTGCGCTTTGACATTGTGACTGTGACCCAGCACGAGACCAGATGTGCTTTTCTTCTTCTTCTTGTGGGATCTATTAACCCTCTAAAAGCTTCAGATTTTGAAGCGTTTGGATTTCAGATTTGTGCTGAGGGCTCTCCTACCTCTCCTCTTATGTCCTTTGGGAGCTCTGAGGCTTTCATCTACACTTCAGTATTCTGTTACTCCTAAAAGCACAGGGCATCCCCACATGGAAGGGGCTGACATCTGAGTGAGTAGTTCCCCGGCCCTGGAGAACCTGGTGTCTGATGGTAAGGCTACTGCCACTGCCCCCAGTACCCCTCACCGTGGCCACCCTGCTCTGCTTGATGTCCAGGAGGTGCACTATAAGAATCGCTACTGGCATGACACCTGCTTCCGTTGTGCCAAGTGCCTTCACCCCTTGGCCAGCGAGACCTTTGTGTCCAAGGATGGCAAGATCCTGTGCAACAAGTGCGCCACTCGGGAGGACTCCCCCAGGTGCAAAGGGTGCTTCAAGGCCATTGTGGCAGGTACTGGCCCCCTGCTACCCTGAGGGCAGACATGGTGTGTGCTTGCTTGTCCTGGTGGGGCTAACATTGCTGTGAGCTGCTTTTGAGATTTTGGCATATATATGTACACATATACATACACGTATATATGCGTACACATATATGCTCGCACACACGCACACACTCGGAGACTAAAGAACACTGGCAAGAACAGTCTGGCAAGAGAATGAAGTGAAAAGTATGTAGCTTTTTCTCCTTTGGGTGTACTAAGTGACTGGTGCATGCTTCTCCCTCAGGCATTTGGGGTTAGGTAAAGCTCTTCAGTTATTGCAAGGGTGGAGGTGGGGGAGTGGGGGTTCAGGTGCCTCATCCCCACCTGTAACAGAACCCTCCGTTGGCATGACTGCAAGTAACACATGGGGATAGGTTGAGGGAGGCCACTGACTGCAGGGCCTGCATCCCCTCGCCTCTGGGGAGGGGCTGGGGAGCTGAGCGGATGCAGGACCCTGCAGAGCCTGTCAGTGTGGCTATTGGATTGCTTCCCTCTGCAGGAGACCAGAACGTGGAGTACAAGGGCACCATCTGGCATAAAGACTGCTTCACCTGCAGCAACTGCAAGCAAGTCATTGGGACCGGAAGCTTCTTCCCTAAAGGGGAGGACTTCTACTGTGTGACTTGCCATGAGACCAAGTTTGCCAAGCACTGCGTGAAGTGCAACAAGGTATGTTGTGGTAATTGTGCACCGAGCATCGTTCCCTGGTGTTGGACAATTTGCAGCGCACTGCACACACACTATCTCATTCCATCCTCATGATAGCCCTGTGACGTTGGAATTATTGTGCCCATTTTACAGATGAGGAGCCTGGGGTTAGAAAGCAGTGCCACAGCTGATTCTAGTCATCAGCATGTGCCCCTCCATTCTGAGTCGGGCAGCCCTGGCTCTGGAGGCCCTGCCTCCTCTACTTCATTGGCTTCTGAAGAGGCTGACCTTCTCTAAGCCTTGGTGTCTTCATCTGTAAATTGGGGATAATAATAGCACCTGCCTCCCATGGCTGTAATGGTGATTAAATGAGATACTGTATACCAAAGCACCCAGCTCAGTGCCTGGTTGTTGAATCTGAATCCCGGTGCCCCACTCCCTGGTCTAGGCCATCACATCTGGAGGAATCACTTACCAGGATCAGCCCTGGCATGCCGAGTGCTTTGTGTGTGTTACCTGCTCTAAGAAGCTGGCTGGGCAGCGTTTCACCGCTGTGGAGGACCAGCATTACTGCGTGGATTGCTACAAGAACTTTGTGGCCAAGAAGTGTGCTGGATGCAAGAACCCCATCACTGGTAGGCTAAAGAGTCCTTGCTAAGTCTGCCAGGCTAGTTTTTTTGTGCATGGTAACCATCTCTCATTTCCTGGCGTCGGTTTCATCCACAAAGGCCCCTAGACAATGCCCCTACAATGGTGGCCCCAAAGGCCTCCCCCAAATAGTTTGATTATCTCCCAGGCCAGATTAACCCTTGCAATGCAGAACACTTCCTGACTACTATTGACCAACTAGCCATGCCAGTTCAAGCGCTGCACAGGGGTGAAATTGGGTGGGGGTGGGGCAGGCACAAGGGGTGGGGGTTAGTGGTGGGAGAGCCAGGAGAGGGAGGGGGTGAAAAGAGGGGATGGGGAGGGCTAGGGAGGCTGGAAAACTAAAAGCTGGCATTATACCACTCCATAGTGGAAGGCTAGTGCAGAGGGACCTGCTAGCGGGGTCATTTTTAAGTATTTTTAATCTTTTTGTGATCAGAAGCAAAGCTAATCACTTCATTCCTCATCTTGCGGCCGCGATCCACGTGCCCTGAGCCCTTTCCCTTGCCTCCAATTTTCCCATCTCCCCGGGGAGCCTTGAAATGTACATTTGAGAAGACTTTTGCCATCCTCAGGGAAAAGGACTGTGTCAAGAATGAGCCACCCAGTCTCTAAAGCTAGGAAGCCCCCAGTGTGCCACGGGAAACGCTTGCCTCTCACCCTGTTTCCCAGCGCCAACCTCCGGGGCAGGCATCCGGGTGGAGAGAGGACTTGTCCCTCGTGGGTGGTGGTTCTTTATAGAAAAAATCGAAGCTTAGCAGCTCCTCCTCGAGGCCCGGTAAGTGCACACCCCACAAACAGCCCAAGTTTGCCTCCTGGTGGCCACTTTGATGCCATGGCCCTGACTTTAAAAGACACTGGTTATGCTGGGAGGTCGGTGCGCGTCACAGAGCTATAGTGGTGGTGGCATGGGAACAGGGGTTCTTTAAATCAGGGAAGCCATTGGCTGAGCTCTGGCATCTTTTCAGGTCCTTGACAGCCATAGAAGGGTTGCGGCGGCGCGGGGGACAGTGGCGGCGCGGGGGACAATGCGCGGTGGGAGACAATGCGCGGTCGAGTAGAGGGGAGCAGAGAGCCCGGCAGACACTGACTGTGTGCCTGTCGACTCTATGATCGGGCAAGTTGTCATTTTATCTCTGACTCCTGGGTTCCTCATCTGTCTTCATTCAGCTGTTCTCTCTGTTTTCTTGTGTTTTCCCACAGGGTTTGGTAAAGGCTCCAGTGTGGTGGCCTATGAAGGACAATCCTGGCACGACTACTGCTTCCACTGCAAAAAATGCTCCGTGAATCTGGCCAACAAGCGCTTTGTGTTTCATAATGAGCAGGTGTATTGCCCCGACTGTGCCAAAAAGCTGTAACTTGACAGGGGCTCCTGTCCTGTAAAATGGTATTTGAACCATGCTTTGTGTCCTTTGCTCACTCGCTCTGTTACCATCCATAGAGGAGGAGTGGGTTTCCACCTTCAAAGTTGCTCCTTCTGTCCTTTCTCCCATTTTACAGTATTACTCAACTAAGGGCATATTGTGATCATATTAGGATTTAGCAAAGAGCAACCTTGCAGCAAAAATAATTTCTCTTTTGCTGCAATGGAAAAAACAGAAACTTAGATAGACTCTTCTGCATGTTTCTCATAGAGCAGAAAAGTGCTAACCATGTAGCCACTTCATGATGTAAGCAAGAAGCATAGGCGATAAGGCTCCCACTGAGATGCCTTCCAGGGCTCATCTGGGACCCTCTATGCTGTCACATGACTGATGCGCAAGAGTTGGAGCGGCTGCTCCAACTCCCTGCTCACCTTCTTCTGTGAGCAGTAGAACTTGCCAGAATGCATGGTTTAACTTCATCAAAACTCTGACCTTCCTTCTGTTCTTTTGTGCTGTCACAATGCTAACACGAATTTGCAGAGAATTAACATTTTGAACCTAGCTGTAACTCTCAACTGACTTTCCCCCTACTAACGTTTGACTCCCCACGTGGCGTGTTTTCTGATCATTCCTGCTTTGAAGCATGGAGCACACAGGTGATTTGGAGAGTGTAAGTAGATCTGAGGAAACGAGCCTGTTTCAGGACATCGTCACAGTGACTTCTGGAAGCTTAACAAAACTAACCCTCCTGTCCTTGTTCATTTTTTAAAATTTTGTTTTAATTAATAGTAAAAATAGTTTATGGGTTTGGAAACTTGCATGACAATATTTGAGCCTCCTCAGACATCCCTGCAGTTTTGGGATCCATCCTATAGAAGAGACAAAAACTCTAGAGGGGCAGCTGAGCAGGCACAGACAGCTGTCTGTCATCAACAAGAATATGACATGTCAAAACCGTGACAAGTTGATTCCCTTGTGACATAGTTGTCTGCTCTTTGTCTGTGTTCAAGAAAACCACAAAGTCTTGTGATTCTTAGAACGTTCCCTCAAGAGTTTAGCTGGGTCTCGGGGGCTGTTGGGGGTGGTCATCATCCTCCCCAGGCAGGACTGGTTTTCCACCTCCTGCATCTCTGAAACACAGAATACCTACTTAACTGTATTTTCCATTATATTACATATATAAAGAGACAATATCAAGGTAAACATGTAATGAAAATACATATTCGTATATTATTGTAGCAGTGGTCATAGATGCCGCCAGCTCACTTCCACACTGTCATTAGCTGTTTCCATCTAACGTTTCAGTGTATCCTTACAAAAATAAAAGCAGCATAGAAAGAATACGTCTCCTGTTTTTTTATTATTATGCCCAAGACAAGCACGGGTGTGTAATAATGCTGCAGCCTCAGAAACTTGGGGACCTTGTTCCTGGCGTCAAGGATATACTTAGTTCAGTGCAGTGTACAAACATGTAGCACCACCGCGGTCCAGTTTTTTTCTTTTTTTCTTTTGTTTTGTATTTAAAAAAAAAGCCTCAAAGTATTTCCCAGATTTCTGCATTTCACAAGAGCCAATGATGCTTGCATGGGCAGGATAGCATAGGCAGGAAGGGACTCCCAGATGAGGCCATTTCAGAAGGAATCTTGCTTTCCCCTCATTCCTTCATTCCTTTCCCTTCGGCCCTCTAGAGCCTGGGATCCATGCACCATTGTGTCTTTCCCATCTGCCCTTCCTACCTGCACCCCCCTAGTGCTTTGGGCCATTGTCTCCTTTTGAGAGATGGGAGAGCAGAGGGAGAGGCTGGCCTGGTATACTGAGCCTCTGTGGAGTTGGAACTCCTGAAGCTCATATTCTTACCCATCCACCCTTCGCCTACCCTAGAGGTTATTTTAAGAGGCCCCAAGTGGGGGCTGGAGAGATGGCTCAGTGGTTAAGAGCATCGCCTGCTCTTCCAAAGGTCCTGAGTTCAATTCCCAGCAACCACATGGTGGCTCACAACCATCTGTAATAAGGTCTGGTGCCCTCTTCTGGCCTTCGGCATACACACAGACAGACTATTGTATACATAATAAATATTTTTAAAAAAAGAGGGCCCAAGTGGCCACCAGCAATGGCAGTGGCAATGGGTGCCAGCTGTGCTCACTTCTTGTTCTAACGCTACGTGTCTGCTAACCGCAGATTGGAGGGGTAGCAGTTAGGCCTTCACAAGCCCCCTGGCAGAATAAAAAATGGTTCTATTTTGTGGGTATCAGAATTTTGAGAGATACTAGGGTCAGAGTGGTCTTCATCAGCTGAAGCATTTGCCATCTGAGAAGGGTTGAGGCCTGTCAGAATTGACCTCAAGCCTTTTTTCCATTTTGCTGTAGATTGAGCCCAGGCCTCTTATGATCAAGAATGTGAACGTCCCCTTTGGGTATGCTCCTTTTTAGAGAGATTGCCTGTGGCCACACCCTGAAACCACTGAAGAGAACCTATCTAGGTTTCTAAGGTCCTGCCTTTGCTCCATGCCGGCACCATCCGCCTCTGCAAGCTTTTTGTCTTGCTGTTCTGCCCAGCATTCCTTCCCTTCCCAGAATTCCAGAGTCTCTCCCCAGAATGAGTTATGTGGCCTCCAGTCCAAGGCCTCTCTAATTGTTCTCAGTCCCTTCCTACCTTTACTTCCCATTCTGCACTGAACTTGGCTTCTGTCACTTGAGCTCCTCTCCCATGGCCTTGGCTCCACCAAGCCTTGACTGGGAAAACCTTAGCTGCTCTCGAGTTACGCTAACAAAAAGCTGCGTTGCCTAAAATGCCCGGAACCATTTCTCCCACTCACTCCATAGTCTGTAACAATAGTCACCTCCCCAAAAAACCTGCCTTCCTTACCCAAGGAACAGGCCTACTGGGCATCTGCCTCTGTGCTGTTTGCCCTTAACACTGATCTTCAGAAGCAAACGTCCTTCATTCACACCAGGCCTAATTGCCTCAACCAGTGCTGGGCCCATTTTCCAGGTGAGAAAAATACAAGTTCAGAGAGATGAAGGTTTCCTAAAGCTACACAGCTCATGGGAGAGGCCGGTCTGGGCATACTACTAGTGTGTCGGGACAGTGCACGGCACAGAAGTGGCATATCAATGAGGAAATTGATCAGGATATCCACGACTTTAGAAGACACTTGTTTATTGCATGATAGGGCTCAGGAGAAATGGGGTTACATATCTAGTTACTACACTGTCTGCAGACAGGCCCCATCTGGATCAGAACACAGTAACCTATTGCTAACAGGGTGATAACCTGAAGCCAGGTTGTCTGGGTTCAAATCTTGGGCAATCAACAACTCACTAAGCTTGTTTCTTAAAATGAGATAGAATGGCTCATTTCAAAATTGTATGCATGTGATAGGATCACAGGAGAGCTTAGGGCGGTAACGGGTACCACGTAAATACACAATCAGTGTTAGCAAGGCTTCTGTCCTGAACACTGATAGTGCTCGACCCTACCTACAAGTCACCCTATAGCACTCATGAACCGTGGTAGGGGGTGGATCCAAGTCAGCCGGACTTGGATTTGGACACTGGCGCCACTGCTTTCTAGGTGGGCGACTGAACTGAACGTCAGCGTCTATGTATTACCATGTCTTTGTAGGTAGAAACATCCACACGTGCCTCAGATGCTGTGAGGACTGCAGGGGCTGCCTCCCTAGAGCCTGGCACTTCCTATGCAGATCCCAGACTTCAGTTGCACTGCAGCTGCGGGAGTTGGAAGGCCAGGAGTGGCTAGGACCCATGAGGAAACAAGAATGCTGGGAAAGGGAACCTGGCTACTGCTTTGGCTAATTAAGGAAGTCACTGAAAGTGACACACACAGAGCAGTTGACCTTTGCTACTAGCTAAGCTTATCTCTCAATCCCCTAGCTTTGGCCACAGAGTCCATAGAGTATGTGGCTTTTTGGGAATGAAAACGCCCATGGATTGCAGTAACAATCCCTTCACCTGATTGATAAGGAAAAAGGTTCAGAGGGGAGGGAACTTGGGGCCACACATTGCAAACTGGCAGCCGCCTCAGCTAGGGGTTCAGTCTTTGGAGTCCTTTGTAGGATTCCTTACAGTACTTATGTGTTCAGAGAATCATTCTGCATGATGTGGCCATGGTAACAAGGGCACAGGAAGTGTGCTGCCCTGAAGAATCTGTTGGATGTGGCCGAGAATCTGTGTCCCTTAGGGGACAAGACATAATAGTAGGAAGGACTGTGAAGAGGCTAACCTAGAAAGTGATCTTTGGAAGTCTGTCACCTTGGAGCTGTGAACGGAACACTGGTTTGATCAGGTGGACTGATATGACCTGGTGCCGACAGGAATGAAATATGTCTAGATTATGCTGATTCAAATATACATAGAAAATGCTAGAATGTTGCCAAAAGATAGCTCAGGTGGCTAAAGACTTTTGCTACCAAACCAGATGGCCTGACTTGGATTCTCAGACCCCACAGGGTGGAAGCACTCAATCCTGCAATTTGTCCTCTGATCTACCTCCACATGCCTGCTGTGAGACCCCCCACCCCAGCCACAGGAAAGAAAGAAATGTAAAAAAAGCTCTAGAATGATAAGCAAGGAATGGCTGCCGCTACTTTATCAACACCAGATGACAAACACTAGGGAATAAATACGGGCCTAGCTTCATTAAAAGCAAAACTTAGTGATGTTAAAGCATGATGGACAGATTGAATTAACTGATTGATTTGTTCAGTGGAAATTGCCATCTTCCAGCTTGAGTGTCCTGGAGTGCTAGAATTACAGGCATTGTGCTACAACACCTGCACAAACCAGATTTTAGCATTGGGACCTTGGAGCCAGTTGGTGGCGGTGCACGCCTTTAATCCTCCCACTTGGGGGGTAGATGTAGGTGGATCTCTGTGAATCTGAGGCCAGCCTGGTCTCCAGAGGGCTACACAGAGAAACCGTGTCTCAAAACAAAACAAAAAGGTAGAACCTTGATCCAGTAAGATGTTCCGTTGGCTAAAGTGCTTGGTATGAGAACCTGATAATCTGAGTTTGGTTC